GTTCTTACTCCACGATCTGGCACACTGTATTCCACGCGAGACCTGTTGGACTTTACCCTACCGAGTCTCTCAAGTTCCTGAACACCTTGCTTGAAAATGGCATGATGGTTATATCAATAAATATTCGAAATCAAATATACTGTCAAACGAACGGATAGATAGCCGTTAGTGCATATGCCCCTCAACATAACATAAGCCATAAACGCTTTTGGACGTAGTAGGAAACGTAGACCGCAGTTCGGGTAGATTTCTAGACGCCTAGTTACGAGCCTTCTTAGCGGCTGGAGACCCTTCATCATCATCTTCCATCTTGGCCACCGGAGGGATGTCCGGATCCACATCCTCCTCGTCCTCCGACTTATCGTTCTCATCGGGATCACTATCAATCTCCTCTTCTTCTTCCGAGCTATCCAATCTGATACAAAAACCAGTAAGTTAATAACTTCACATTACTCCTAAGCTTTGATTTCCACACTCCCCCTAGTACTACTCTAACATTCGACGGATCTCATCCCGACCGAGGGCACAGAGAACGTCATCGGAACTATCCGCCGCCACAAGATCGTCTGTATCCTCCTCATCATTCACACCCAATATAGCAGCCATATCTACCGAGTCGCCCTGACCACAGCACATAACACCAACTATCGCATTCTTCACCTTACATCACGTCCTTTGTCGTCTATCACCTCTACCTGTTCGAGTATGTCGAATATCTTCTTTCGATAATTGGCCGTCTTAACCACGGGACATTCCTCTGAATATAATCAAGCACGGCAGTTGCCAGTAAACCCAAATACAGCAGCACTTACTCAGATCAATCACCTGCAAGGACTTGAGATTCCTCAACGCCTTAAACTCCTCCACAGAGTCGATGAGGTTGCCACGCAGCAGTAAGAGCCGAAGGGCAGATAAATTAACCAACTTACTGAGAAAACAGTCTAACAGGACCATTCTCATTGGCCTCTCTATCGTACTCGATAACATCACTAGTGAGCTTATTTTCGCTCAGATCGAGGGTTTCTACGTTGGCCAGCTCGGGAAAAGGGGCCTGTATTTCGGTAAGGCCGCAACTGGTAAAGTTTATTAGAGTTAAACTCGTGCACCTAACGAACAACTGGTATCCAAGCCTGCTCCCCTCAGCCGAATAGAGGACTCGGGAGTTCCTAATACTTGGAAATGTCTCCGGACATGTCCGCCTTGGTTATCTTCGGTAAATCCTCCTCGTCAATTACAAGCTCAGTCAGGTCTTTCGGCTCGCACTCCTGAGAAAAAAATCAATCAACTTTCCTCGCCAGTCCCGAATTCAGAGTGGATCAAGGCTTCGACGTATTGTTCGTTCGATAGCCGCAAAAATGACAGTTCACTCCCAGTTGCATATCTGCGCTGATCTCAATCATAACGAGAGCACACGAACCGTGTGACACGATGAGTGGAGGATCTAAACGCTAGCGTTCCTCAACATTTCCCTAGACACCTCTACTAGACCCATGAGTGTACGCTAAAGGTAAGCTCATGGTCCAGTATGAGAATTCGCCTCTGATTGATACAATGGCAATTCGGCTAAGCCGCGGATGACGATTCAATCACACTAGAGCTGTATAAAGTAATCACATCGTGTGCCCTAACCTGAGAACTCGAACGCGAATCTTCATTACCTCTTCGGCACAGCACATCTTGACGATGGAGTCCATGGAGCTCGCGACTTCTTCTTGAGCTACCATGTGTATGGAAACGACTTAAGTGTGACGAGGATGAAAGACTACTCTGTATTTCAAGTACTAAGAAAGATCCAAGATATCGCAAGATATGCAAGACGGTCAGTTATGACCCATCTGATTCGCGACGTCGGAGAAATTTTTTTAGTTTTCTTGGAGCGTACAATTCGCAACTCACTCGACATTCTCATTAACTAGGGGTACTAGTGGTCCCACGCTGTTGATGTCTCAGCTATGATGTTCTCCCATTCAATTCTGGATATCAAATTTCTGTGTTATGGAGCATGGTGATTCCTCCCATATCCGGTATAAGCCTCAGTGTTGAGTTTTGCCGCAGTATCGCCTCGGACGAGAGGGATGGACGACTGAGGAGTGTGAGGACAACGAACCTGACCGAATCGTAGCGGTTTCGAGAGAATAGGGACGTTACGCACGTCGCCTTTACGAAGGTGTTCCCAGAGAAGTAGTAGCTTGCAGTTTACCCTAATCATATCTCGTACATGGCGTGTCACTACGATACATTTCTCCAGTTAACCGCTATAAATGTCATCTATTCTATCCGACATGGTAGACGGCGATGTTATATCACCGCCTGAAGATGAGTTCGACGTCACAGCGACTGGCATCAGGGCTAAGCGCTACACCACTACTAAAGTGGTGAACTGCAAGAAACGATGGCGTGGACGTAATAAGGCAACTATCATATCAATAATCTCGAGGGGGCTAGGGACTAGTAGTAGTTGCCTATGCTCAGGGAGTATCCAAGACATCATATCTGTCGAATTTGCATTAGACTCCGAGTACATTGAGAAAGCCTGCCGAGAGGGATACCTCAGAATCCGAAAAGCCGGGAAAAATGCGGTACCCCAGCGGGCCAAACCAGGTACTAAGGCAAGATTCGTCGTCTGTATGCTGATCTAACTAGTATCGTGTGATAGTTGCCGCCTTTCGCACTTGTCGATTTTTCTATCAGAAAGTCTGCTCAAGAATGGGGAGAGTCTAGTACACACGTGGAAGGCTGAGGAGCCCCAGGTTGATTTCACTTGTGGGGAAACAGGGATTGTTTTTATCCGAGAAGATTCTGCACGAGGGATCGTTGCGGTAATAGAAAATAGCAGGGAAGAAGGCGTGACGGGATGATACGAAGGTACACAAGCCCGCCGGGCTTCCGACTCACTCAGGCGGCAAGTACATGAGGACCTCACTCGTGCACATCTTGGCTAGAGCCTTTAACCTCTCTACTATACGCCCTATCAACCGACTCGATAGAGAGACCAGTGGAGTAGTCCTACTAGCTGCTGATGCTAGTGTGCATGAGAGGCTCAAGGATAGGTCTCTACTCAGCAAGGTGTATGTAGCTGATGTTGGAACTGATGCTTCTGAGGTACGACTGACTCATGTTCAATGATCATTGTTCGAGTGCAAATGCATAACGATGGACACTTTCAATGAGATCTGCTGGCAGTCAGTTCCTCGCGTCTGTCAGCTCTACATGCTCGCTATACTGATATGTTAGTACTTCTGTCGAGTATAAACTCTGTTTCTAAGGTGCCAGCATTATGTCGCACTCCAATAGCGGTCGATCGTCACGTACCGAACCAGCCTCTCATGTCACGAGTAGTGGAGGATTCTACAAAGTAATGAGGGTGGACATTCTCCATTGCTATGAGGCTCTTCCCTCAGTTCCACCCTATGTACAACTCTATTTCGTAACCTCGGTAACGGTGTTGTTGCTTGCCGACCAGTGACCGGTAAAACCCATCAAATTCGAGTAGGCCTTCACCCGTCGTTTTGTGTTGTACATGCTCATCAGGTTCATCTGTCCCATCTCGGGTTTCCCATACAGGGCGATACTCTATACGGCGGAAGGAGCACTCCTGAGGGAAGACTCAGATTACACGCTCATTGTTATCAAGTGAAAGATCCCAATCAAGGTGGGTCACCGTCTATCCTTCCCAATCTATGCGTTGGTCTTCCTCAGAGAGTTTCATCAATTTCGTCTCGCCTGTGATGCCCACGTGGTGTACCCCTGATGAACGGTGGCAGACAGAGTTGGAATCCCTGCTGAATGCCAATAACCCATCAGGATGAAAGTGACGTTGAGCAAACCCTTCTGGACAAGGGAGCCGACAAGAGCTTCCAAAGGGGAAAGTCAAGCTACCACGTGAAGGTTTACAATGCAGGAATTCCTCAAGGGTTTGAGTTAAGTGTGGATAGATGTACGGACTGCCTCCGGCTGCCTGCCGCGCATGCGTATCGTATTTCATCGAAACTACCTTCCACGACAGTTATTATTATGATAATGTTATGATGACACATCCACCCTTCCGATCCCTATCGGACGGTTTTACATCGAGTGTAATATGACTACGATGTTCGCCCTTATCAACTTACACAATACCTTACTATTCGTCAACACTATCTTAGCAACACTGCAATAACATCTCATGCGCCAACCTCAGCACCCACATCAGACTCCTTCTGTGGGCTAGCGGTCATCTCCAAGTACTTGTTCATCTTCCTGATCTCCAATTCTTCTCGTGTCACACCCTCCTCCTGCTGTGTCACCACACAGAACCTGAACAATCTCATCCCCATCGTTTGCCTTGTTACTTGTCACTACTTCCGGAGGTTTGGAGAGAGTTTCAGGCAATTCACACCACCGCGATCATCCCCCACGAATATGATAGGATCAGTCGTATTAAACATGATATGCGTTAACTTTGCCTTCCGCACTACCTACAACGACGACGACCACAACGATGAAATCGTGCCCTCTAGTCAGACTTACCTTCTGGTAGCAAATACGTTCGTTGCGGTTGACTGACAGATCATAGAAATGCACTATACCGTCCGAGGTGATCGCTGCGAAGGCCGTGGAACTATACGGTGCCCAGGACACATCGCCGACTGCTTGCCCAAGATCGAAAGAAACCAAACAGGACCTGTGAACACACCCCTCCCACTCAAGTGTCCTCAGCCGAGCCTCTACTCCTGAGTGTGATCCCAGAGCTTCACAGTCCAATCCGCGCTAGCTGATATGAATATCCTAGGATGATAATTATTCCATCGTACGGTATACACAGCCATAGTATGGCCCTCGTATGTGGCGAGGTATCTATCGACTATTCGTGTGGAGATGTTCCCGCTGAACGGAGACGTACTGTCCGGCGAAGTCCTTGCTACACTTGTGGATCTTCCCCTCCTCAGTGCCGACCAGGAATAGATGATCGACAGCAGCGTTGAAATCAAAACAGAGACCTCCAGCTAATCCTAAGACAAGACGTCCATCCGCGTACCCTCACAATCTTCTCAGACTACCCACCCGCTAACCCAACGTCATCGTCGGTAACTGAGGCGCGTTGACCTGAAAGAAAACTACGCAAATGCCAGCCGGTCGGATTGTGTACTCTCTTTCTTCTCAACCCCGGACGAGGGTGCAACAGCCATCTTCAACTGCAGCAGCTGCTCGGACCTATTCCCACGTATGGCCTCAGATAAACACCAATAAACCTACTCGAGCTTATCCTTCATCAACCTCCAGATACTTATACGCCCATCCGCCGAGATTGAGAAAAAGTTGAGCACCTAATCTCACGTCCTGGGAGTTACATCAGGTCTCATAGTTACTCCAGCGGAATCCTCATCATTCCAATGGACTTCCCATACAGGATCAGTGTGTTTGTTAGTTCTGATGGTACTTTGGTACAGTGGTCTGCGCAGCTTAGCCCTCACATCGTAGACCTGTACAGTGCCGTCGTAAAGTCCCACGGCCAACCTGAAGACCAGAGGACCTCCAAAGAGAGGAGAGTTTAGTGACAATACATAGCAGGTTGGGAAGGGTGCCAGTCTAGACAGCAGACTCCCGACTCGGTGTTGAATACGTATTCAGGAAAGCGGGTGTTCTTCACAGAATAGCAACAGATAACCCCAGACCCCTGCTTGAGGAAGTCATAGGAGCCGAACCCCACTGCAAAGAGATCTGCGTACCTGCCAAGTGAAGTGCCCAGTGCACTCCTCCATAGAGGGCCTACTTGGGGTTGCAGCGGATACAGGTAACCTGCTTCCGCTTCGCTTTCTCAGTGGCAAATCGCCATAAAGGCAGGAGAGTGCCATGACCATCGCGGTAGTCATCAGAGCGATCCTCCCAATACCTGAGGGATTGTTGAAGAACAAGTCAGTTCTGAGCACCGACTTGAGGTCGCTGTAAATGTCGCTCTCTGTGTTGTGGTTTATCATACGCTCCATAATCTTTATGGCGAGCCGCATGGAGTCACCGTAGAGGGAGTCGGCCTGTCGTACAGGCTTCTTGGTATCAATCATGTCCTCGTTGGTCAACTTACGAGTACCTACCGTAACTCTCTCAAACAGGAAGATAGCTTAGAAACATACCGTCAGCTTTGTCCTTAGTAGCCTCGATATCCTTCATATAGTGATCATATATAGACCAAAGAGTTACCGTCTCGTTGTGTGATGTGTTCGAAGGAGGTTCTGAGCTACAGCATAGAAGAGGGCTACCTGCAATAGGGTGGTACCAGTGCTGATGCCCCGGTCTCGAATAATGCCATTCTTGGTCTGGGAACCCCGATCAGCGAAGTGGAATTGGTTCCTCAGCGTGTTAGCTGCCGGATCCGGATCTCCCTCAATTGCCCTGACACATTCCCATAACCCTGTATTACTCAATAATCCTTACTCGATAGAGACATCCACAGCCTCAGTGCTGTCCCTGGCCTCCTGCTCTTTGGCCTTCCGCTGTCGCGCATCTTCCTCCTCTCGTGCCTCGGGGGAATCGGACAGCATCAGAACCTACAGCACTTCTGGTTCATTTCATATTTTGCCCGGATTTCGTATTGGCGCACTTCGAAAAATGCCTTTTTTCAACATCTTACCAACTGGTTTTAGTGAATTATCGGAAATTTCGATGAAGTAGCTTGTCTTCTCAAAAACGTACCAACTTCAATTAACGAAGTTAGTAAGTAGAATGTCGTCAGCACTGCCCTCAATTGCTTACACCGTCCACTGCAAGATGCCATGCTGTGTGATCCACTTCTGTATCAACCTTATACGATCTGTCCTTGAAGGAAAACTCGGCGGTATTGTCGGGAGCGTGTGGATCATGAGGATGGAGAACCCGTGGAGGGACCTGGCGGCAAGAGCAGTCGAGGGGAGCTCGAGAGGTGTCCGTCACTGACCTCCTTCTCCAGCTCTTCTGGAGTGAGGTCCACCTGGTCCTCTGGGACGACCTAAAAGCCATGGACCATCCATCTCTAGATAGGAAGTGATCTTAGCCTACCTTAACGACAAGCTGCATGTCGGGGTCGAAGTCGAAGGCGTCAGCCATGGTCTAGTAATGCCAGAAGTATTTCAACACTGTATTCGAGCACTACCTGATAGTATTACCCCAAAGATTGTCCTCCAACAACAGCTACAGGTGGTATCTAGTCTCGATGTCTTTGGAGACACCCTGTACTGAGGATATTGACCAACACCACTACTCCTTGACCATAAAATAACGATCAACATCTCATGTGAGATCTCCTTATAGTTTCCTGGCCCTCGGTTGTGAGAGCCACTGCTCCATCCAAGACCCTTAGAGTGATAGAAACTCGCGTGTCACCACCCAAGCAAGCATTGTCCCTTCTGATACCATGCATCCACTGTGTTTGGGATGGACCCGCAATGAGACAGGCACTTCTCCTCGGCAAGCCGACGTCATAGTAGACACCCTCCTTGGGGTTGGCAAAGGTCATAATACAATCAGCCGCCAAAGAGAGGTCGAGGATACCGTCAGCCCAGACCCAACTGTGGTCAACATGGAGATCAATACTACTACCTCTACTCACAGCGTACTCCTGGACCACCATCTCGTGCCAGGCGTGGTCCAACAGGAGGCCAAGGCCCGTATGGATTCGAGGGAGCACCAAGTCGATGCTGTGAGGAAGGCCTTGGAAGTTGTCCGGACATTTCAACTTCCTCTTCTTGAAGTTCACTTGCGGGCCATAGTCCTGCTTCCGACGTCCCGACTGCGACAGCTTCCACGGTCGAGCATAGATATCTCCAAGCAGGGTGGCCTCCTCCGCTTCCGTGATTGCATCGGCTAGTACTACGAGGCCAGGTGGGACTATGTCCGATTTGGCCGTGCCCGCCACCCCATCAGGTAAGTACGAGGCCGGGGGTGAGTGGACTTGAGAGAACGGCAGTGACCTCCTCACAGAGCCGGCAGC